CGGTACTCGCTCCCATCCTGTTCCTAATCCTCATATCTGACAGACAGGGATGTAAGCCACAGCACTGTATCTTCCTTTGCAGATGACACCCGAATTTGCATGACAGTGTCCTCCATTGAAGACACCGCAAGACTCCAGGCAGACATCAACTAAATCTTTAAATGGGCAGCAGAATACAATATGAAGTTCAATGATGAGAAATTTCAATTACTCCGATATGGAAAACGTGAGGAAATTAAAACTATATTGGAGTATAAAACAAATTCCAACCACACAATAGAGCGAAAAACTAACGTCAAAGACCTGGGAGTGATCATGTCAGTAATCTCACCTTCAAAGACCATAACATTGTATGAACCGCATCTGCTGGAAAAATGACAGGATGGATAATGAGAACCCTCAAAACTAGGTATGCCAAGCCCATGATGACACTCTTCAGGTCGCTTATTCTATCTAGGCTGGAATATTGCTGCACACTAACAGCACCTTTCAAGGCAGGTGAAATTGCTGACCTAGACAATGTACAGAGAACCTTCACGGCACACATAACTGCGATAAAACACCTCAATTACTGGCAACGCTTGGAGTTCCTCAACCTGTACTCCCTAGAACGCAGGTGGGAGAGATACATGATTAAATGCACTTGGAAAATCCTAGAGGGATTAGTACCAAACTTGCGCACGAAAATCACTCCTTACAAAAGCAGACGATGCACCATCCCCCCAATGAAAAGCAGGGGTGTCACTAGCACGATAAGAGACAACACAATAAGTGTCAGGGGCCCAAGAATGTTCAGCCGTCTCCCAGCATGTATAAGGGGGATTACCAAAAGACCCCTGGCTGTCTTCAAGAAGGCGCTGGACAGGCACCTTAAGTTAGTACCTGACCAGCTGGGCTGTGGTTCATACGTCGAGTTGCGTACGGCCAACAGTAACAGCCTGGTTGATCAGGCCCTGATCCACCCTGTGGCCCGGTCTGTGACCAGGCCACGGGGGCGCTGACCCCCGAAACCTCCTGGTATACCTATTGCTCGATTGCTAGTGCACTCAGCTCAGACGCTGAGGTCCGGGGATCGATTTCCTATACGGGTGGAAACATTAGGACGTGTTTCCATAAGATACCTGCTGTCCCTGTTCACCCCATCAGTAAAATAGGTACCTGGGTGTTAGTCGACTGGTGTGGGTCGCATCCTGGACAAAATTGACCTAATTTGCTCGAAATGCTCTGCATAACAAGCGGCTTTCTGTGTAGTAGTATGTCACTGATGTCAGCTAGGCCTGTATACCTTGTACATGTACTTATAGAAATATTATTATTGTTATTAGTGTGGCTCATTCAGAGCACTGTATTAAAGGTTCGATCCTCCATCCGCTAAGAGTGAAAAAGCATACTAATAGTTGTACTACATAATATTACTTTATTGAATTATGGTACAGTAATTAACACTTTAGTTCCTATAATCGACAATTATACAAATCTAAACTTGTGTAATGAGCCTGAATAAATATTATTTACCCAAAGCCTAAATAAAAATGACTTTACTAAATGCTTGTGGTAAACAAACAGAGCAGAAGGTGCAGACGACGCCGCCCACACACGCTCTCTCCAACGTATTTATCCCAAAATATTCCTCGGAAATAAAGGTAATACTTTATAATTTTGTCCAGTGCAATCATCCATTTGAGATGTATTTTTAGTATGTAAAAAATTTTTATTTCTTGACTTGTGAGGAAAATATTGACGTTTGCACAGCCTTCGGACGGTCACCTTGAGCTGGTTTCTTTTTGGGAATTACATCTAATAAATAGGATAGAAGATTCATATTATTGTTCTCCCTTGAAGCGAGGTACTTTGATGCTTGTGAAGGGCTCTTCATTCGAGGAATTGGGGTTACCCTTCCTTTCCTCGACTCTAGCCTTTTTACCTCCTGTCTCGTGCAATGTATGACCCCCCTAAGGTTTTATTGCTTCCCTATCCCCTCAAGGAAGGGTCCTTGATCATGGTGAGGGGCTCTTGATCTAGGGAATTGGATCTGTGCTCCAGTTCCCTGAATTAAACCTGAATATCTTCCACGTCCCCCAACAGGCGCTGTATAATCCTATGGGTTTAGCGCTTCCCCCTTGATTATAATAATAATAATAATAGTAATAATAATTGCTTCTCTATGAAAATAACAATGTTTTCAACGTGTTTCATAATAATGTTGTGTTATTTAATAAACTGATTCAAGAATATATCATTGATTACTGGAGCACACTAATGTTATTAACATCTGTAATGCAGCCAGCCGGGAGACGTCTCAGCCTTCACATAACTTTCTTTCTCATGATTATTTAGCTACTTGAACCTGTCTGCCTCCCATCACTCAGGATAAAAGTACTTTGTGAAAATTGACTGGAAAAAATATATATACAATATATGGACAATAAATAACAAAAAGGCACAATACCGTGACTGGAACGATACACAAATAACCCGCACATAAAAGAGAGAAGCTTACGACGACGTTTCGGTCCGACTTGGACCATTGACAAAGTCACACTGTGACTTTGTCAATGGTCCAAGTCTGACCGAAACGTCGTCGTAAGCTTCTCTCTTTTATGTGCGGGTTATTTGTGTAATATATGGACAACACAGTAAGTGTCTGGGGCCCAAGACTGTTCAGTTGCCTTTCAGCGTACATAAGGGGGATTGCCAGTAGACCCCTGGTTGTCTTCAAGAAGGCACTGGACAGGCACCTAAAGTCAATACCTGACCAACCGGGCTGTGATTCATACGTCAGCTTGTGTACGGCCAGCAGTAACAGCCTGGTTGATTATTCCCTGAACCACAATGAGGCCTGGTCTCAGACCGGGCCGCGGGGGCGTTGACCCCTGAAACCCTCTCCAGGTAAACTCCAGGTATCCAGGTAGTCCAAATCATAGTTTTATTATTGCATTACTTTTTTGGATAACCTTTAAAAATCTCTGCCTCCGTAGGTGCATGACTATCCACCTCAATAATTGCAGTGGTGCTAACAAAAGTTTTACCTCATGTTTCAAAAAACCTAATAAAATGTAAAACTCCATATTTAAAATTTAATTAATGTTTATTCTTGTCCAACAGTTATAAACACCCTGTTAGGTAAAAGGACACAAGTGCAACTAATGTGACATTTTATTGTGGCAATGTTTTGCTCTCCAGGAGCTTTATCAAGCTGTGAATTCAGTAATTCTACCAATATAAACATCCTGTAAGTGATCTAATTTATCACTTTAAATATGTGCGCTTATTTAAATATGTATGTTTATTTAAATACGTATGCTTATTTAAATATGTATGCTTATTTAAATACATTTGCTTATTTAAGAAAATGAGGAAGAACATCTTTGGGTTATTAACCCAAGATAACTCAAGAAGCCAAGCAGTTTGGTTTATTTCCACTGGGGTCTTTTGATCATGTCTACTAGTATAAAAGCCTCATTTATTGCTAGGTGTACATAGGCAGCTGGTGTAAGGAGACCTGCCCGTATGCTGCACCCTGCCCTGGAATTAAACTTGGGTCCTTTTGGTTGTAAACCAGATATGTACTCAAATTTGGAAAATTAGTTTATCACAGATTGTCTGTTGTGTCCAAGGATTCTATCTACTGAAAAAGTTACTTCTTTGATAAACTAGCTTTAGTAAATATTTTTTTGTGTGTGTAAGATTCAAGTGAATTTTAACTACACGATCAAATCTCTGAGTGAGTATCGATTTAGTTAAAATCTTATCCAGCCAAATAGCTTGGCTGATGTGATGTAACTTTACTCCATAGTTAACAGCTGATCCTTGAATTAAGCTTAACATATGCAGGTACAACATTGTATTTATTTGAATGTGAGCAAGGTGAAATATATGAAGGGATTCAAGGAAATTGCTTAGCTAGACTTGAGTCCTTGAGGTTGGATATGCAGTGCCTGTCACTAAAGGAGGGGTGAAGATGTTCCTGTTTGAAGAGTCACTTGCAGTGTGATGTCAGCACACTTTTGGCAAGGTATGATAAAGAGGTATGATAAAGCTTATGGAGCAGGAAGAGTGACCTAGTAGTGACCAGTGAAGAGGCGGGGCCAGGAGCTGTGACTTGACCCCGGCAACCACAACTAGGTGAGTACAACTAGGTGAGTGATTGTACAAATAATAGTGAATGTTTCTTTTATTTTTCTGTCATCCTACCTCTGTGAGAGATGACCACCGCCCACATGATGGGTATGAGGTGCATAATAAATATATTAAACTAACTGATAGCAGGAGTGTAAGAAATAAGATAGATGAGCTAAGATTAATTGCAAGTGCAGGAAACATAGATGTTATTGCTATAACAGAGACCTGGCTCAATCTGAAAGTTAGAGAGATGCCTTCTGAATGTCACATACAAGGCTGTAAATTATTCCACACTGACAGGGTCAACAGAAAGGGTGGTGGAATAGTGATGTATGCCAGAGACAGTTTAAATTGTTGTGTTAGACAAGATATAAAATTAGAAGCGTCAGCCACTGAACCTGTTTGATTACAGCTTCTCAAGGGCTGTGAAAAACTAATTTTGGGTTTGATTTACAGGGCCCCAAATCTTGATAGGGAGTGCAGTAAACTTCTATGAGGATGAAATTCGTAAGGCATCTACAAATGAAAATGTTGTGCTAATGGGAGATTTCAACTATAGACAGATTGACTGGAGTAATTTGACAGGAAATTTAGAATCAAGTGACTTTCGTGATACGATTCAGGATTGTTTTTTAAAACAGTTTGTGACAGAACCAACTGGAGGAAATAACCTGCTTGACTTGGTTCTTACCAGCAGGGAAATGCTAGTTAATAATCTTGAGGTTAATGATGAGCTTGGGGAAAGTGATCACAAATCACTCAGTTTTAATATATCATGGAATTCCCCTAATAATGGCAGTCAAGTCTCTGTCCCTGACTTCCGCTTGGCTGATTTCATAGGACTGAAAAATTACTTGGATGGGCTGAACTGGAATGACCTGACTATGGGTCAGGTAGGTGATGATGATTGCCGATATGACGTTTTCCAGAGCATAGTTCTAGCTGCTCAGACAACTTATGTTCCAAATAGGGAAATCAGATCAAACAAAATTGATCCTAAATGGATGAACAATAGATTAAAACATCTCATTGGTCGAAAGAGAGGCATATATAGGCAAATCAAAAGAGGAGAGGGGCAATTAAGAAATCAATATATTCAGGTACAGAGAGAAAAAAGGGAATAAGGAAAGCAAAAAGAAATCATGAGGTTAAAGTTGCAAGAGAATTGAAGACTAACCCAAAAGGATTCTTTCAGGTATACAGAAGTAAGATCAGGGACAAGATAGGCCCACTCAAAAGTTACTTGAGTCAGCTCATGGGCAGTGATAAGGAAATGTGTAGAATTTTTAACACATACTTCCTCTCAGTTTTTACACAGGCTTCAAAATACTAGCGATATTCCAGAAATAATAAATTATGTAGAACAGGACGATAAACTATGCACGATTAGGGTCACAAGTGACATGGTCCTTAGGCAAATAGATAAATTAAAACCTAACAAATCCCCAGGCCCTGATGAACTGTACGCAAGGGTTCTAAAGGAATGTAAAGAGGAGCTTAGCAAACCTTTGGCTAATCTTTTCAACATATCACTACAAACTGGCATGGTGCCAGATAAGTGGAAAATGGCAATGTTATACCTATTTTCAAAGCAGGTGACAGGTCCTTAGCTTCGAACTATAGACCAATAAGCCTAACCTCCATAGTGGGAAAATTTATGGAATCAGTAATTACTGAGGCAGTTCATAGCCACCTTGAAAAACATAAATTAATCAACGAATCTCGGCATGGTTTTACAAAGGGGCGTTATTGCCTTACGAATTTATTAACTTTTTATACTAAGGTATTTGAGGTAGATCATGGTAATGAATATGATATTGTGTATATGGACTTCAGTAAGGTTTTTGACAGGGTCCCACATCAGAGACTATTGAGGAAAATTAAGGCACATGGAATAGGAGAGAAATTTTTTCATGGATAGAAGCATGGTTGACAAATAGGCAGCAGAGAGTTTGCATAAATAGGGAGAAATCAGAGTGGGGAAGCATCACGAGCGGTGTTCCACAGGGGTCAGTGTTGGGCCCCCTGTTGTTCACAATCTACATGAACGACATTGATGAGCACATAAAGAGTGACATGAGCAAGTTTGCCGATGACACCAAAATAGGCCGTCGAATTCATTCTGACGAGGACATCAGAGCACTCCAGGAAGATTTGAATAGACTGATGCAGTGGTCGGAGAAGTGGCAGATGCAGTTTAATATAGACAAATTCAGTGTTCTGAACGTTGGACAGGAAAATAACCATGCCACATATAAACTAAATATATAATGTAGATCTTAATATTATGGATTGCAAAAAGATTTAGGAGTTCTGGTTAGCAGTAATCTGAAACCAAGACAACAGTGCATAAGTGTTCGCAATAAAGCTAACAGAATTCTTGACTTCATATCAAGAAGCATAAATAATAGGAATCCTCAGGTTGTTTTTCAACTCTATATATCCTTGGTTAGGCCTCATTTAGATTATGCTGCACAGTTTTGGTCACCATATTACAGAATGGTTATAAATGCTCTGGAAAACGTACAAAGGAGGATGACAAAGTTGATCCCATGTATCAGAAATCTTCCCTATGAGGATAGACTGAGGGCCCTGAATCTGCACTCTCTAGAAAGGCATAGAATTAGGGGGATATGATAGAGGTGTATAAATGGAAAACAGGAATAAATAAAGGGAATGTAAATAGCGTTCTGAAAATATCTAGCCTAGACAGGACTCGCAGCAATGGTTTTAAGTTGGAAAAATTCAGATTCAGGAAGGATATAGGAAAGCACTGGTTTGGTAATAGAGTTGTGGATGAGTGGAACAAACTCCCGAGTACAGTTATAGAGGCTAAAATGTTGTGTAGGTTTAAAAATAGATTAGATAAATACATAAGTGAGTGTGGGTGGGTGTGGGTGTGAGTTGGACCTGATTAGCTTGTGCTACTAGGTCAGTTGCTGTGCTCCTTCCTTAAGTGAATGTGATATGACCTGACTAGGTTGGGTCATTGGGTTAATCCGTGGGGGGACATGGACCTACCTCGCATGGGCCAGTAGGCCTTCTGCAGTGTTCCTTCTTTCTTATGTTCTTGTGTTCTTAACTGTGAGAGATGACCAGTGTGAAAAAAAAAAATTACATGAGGTGCTAAACCCTTGTGGGTCCCTAATGCAGTGAGTGGTGGATGTTTGATTTTTCATATGTTAATCATGAGATAGATGCTCAATCAAGTTGTGCTCAAATGTTTGTGCATGAAATATATACATGTATTTTAAAAGAATATCGTAGCAATAACTTTGCAGTAATTTGTGCACATGTTCTTCAGAATGGAGTTGGAATGTGCTGTGCAAAGGTATGCATGGGGTGTCAAGGGTTCAAGGAGTAGTGTTGCCCAGCTAGCCAAAGCTATGCAGCCGGACCTTGAGGTTGCAGATGATGAACCTTTTGCTGAATTGTGGATGGGCACACACCCCAGCGGTCCCTCTATTATTAAAGGTATTGTGGCATTCTAATAATCATGTGTAAGGATAATATAGTAGTCATATTTTCATAGTAAATTTGTCTACTGTGTAAAATTGAAATTAATTTGGAAATTTAATTGTTCTTAGTACTGTAATACTGTACAGTATTATATTTCTATACGTTTTTCTAAAGTAATATAATACAGTATTGTTGAGGATTAAGGTCTTCAAGAGTGCCGTACAATTTTTTTTTAATTTATTGTAGTTTAAGTAAAAATATGAACAGATAAAGAATATAACTTTCTTGAATCTGAGATACGGTGGAACCCTGGATTTTGGCCGTGATCTGTTCCAGAAGGTCGGCCTAAATCCGAAACAGCGGAAAACCCAAGTAATATTTCCCATAAGAATTAATGTAAATACAATTAATCCATTCTCGACACCCAAAAATATTAACAAAAAATACGTTTTTTAAAGATTAACTATAGTTTTACAAACACAAAACAATGAGAACTAAATAAAATGACTAATGAAATGGATAAATGAACATTTAAGATCACATTTACCTTTATTGAAGATTCTTGTTGGCGTATGGAAGACAGGAAGGAGAGAGGGAGGACTGAGTATTGTTTGGAAGGGGAATCCCCCCTCCATAAGGAGTTCAGGTATCAATTCCCTATCCAGAGTTACTTCGCTTCTTTGTCTTTTACTGGCACTGGGACCAGCTTGAGAGTCACTGCACCCCTGTCGCACTAAAAAACTGTCCATAGAGGTCTGTTTCTGGCATCTCTAATATTTGCCTGAAGTGGAACAAGGTTTTGTCACTGAATATGTTGCAGATATGGCTTGTTTCAGCTTGGTCAGGGTGATATTGGTCAGGGTGATATTTCTCTGCAAAACTTTGCACCTCCCTCAACTTTGTACAAATGTCCTTAATCACTGAAGAAAGCACTTTTTTCCCCCTCTCCTCCTCCTCCTCTGAACCAATTTCCTCAGCTGTGGTCTGTTACTGTTGCAGATGAAGGTGTTGCAGCTATTCAGTGTTTAGCTCTTGGGCCCATGGTGGCTTATTTCGCAGTCGCACTCAATAACCAACCACAAAAAACAATAGATTATAATGAAATGTTTGGATGAATGTGCAGAGTGTTGCTCACTCACTGAGAGAGACAGCCAGACTGACACACATGTGGTGTGGCAGGTGGACGCGTCCAATACGGCCAATTTCCGAGTTGCCGGCTGAAAGCCAGGGTAGAATTTTGGCCAAAAAAGTGGCCGAAATCCGATTTGGCCAATATCCACACCAGTCAGTGTCCGAGGGTCCACTGTATATGGTATGAACATTTATTTATGTTTACATCATCATCATCAGCTTATTTCCCAGGCTGTGAAGTAGGGAGGTATTCACCTGGGGAGAGGATGAATGGGGGATACCTTATAAGAAGTTTTTTTTTATTTCGGGAAGGCAATTTTATCATATGCCTGTAGTTGTTAGTGAAGGTGTATGTATTTATTAACATTTTAAAAACAATTTATACTTTTGAAGAGGAAACTAGATAATGTTTTAGCTCATCCTGAACAAAATCGTCTAACAGTGTTTTTAGTTGAAGTGGACTGAAACATCATTATCCAGCTATTATATTGTGATGTTTTTCCTTCTACTGTACTTACGAACAATACCAGTATCTTAGAGAGAGGGGTAGTACATACATGGTCTCGGGGAATTTTATTAGTTTCTTGTTTGATGCCGTATTTGATCCTAGAATTTATGAATTTTTGAGTGTTTTATATCTCCTTTTGTTTTATTTAATTTATTTATAGTATGTTTATAGTACGTCAGATTAGACTGTTGTGTGTTGCTGCATATCTCCTCTTTTCATAGCTGTGCATCTTTTCTTTTTCATTATTTATATTACATTTAATTTTTTTCTTAATACTTCTGAGTAAGCCAATGGTTGTTTTGTTTTTTGGTTGTGATTTTAACCCTTTCAGGGTCGGTGTTGTACGTGTACGGCTTTAGATCAAGCAGAAGAAAGCTGGTAGGCCTACATATGGGTCTGCTTGGTCAGTGTGTGCATTATAAAAAGAATCTTGCAGCATGCAGTGCATAATAAGAAAAAAACTCCAACTGTGTTTTTGGTTTAAAACTGCGAATTTGCAGTGTATTTTCGTATGGTATTTATGATTATATTCTCATTTTCATGGTCTCATTTGATAGAATGGAAGATATATTACAGAAATAGTTATGATTTTGATTGGTTTCACAATGAAAAGTACCTTAAAATTGAGCTCAAAGTAGTGGAAATGTTTGAATTTTGCTGATGTTCAAGAGTAAACAAATCATGCCACGTGTCCAATACACATCAATTGGTGGGTCTAATATTCTTTCACAAGTGTGCTGATATTATTTATGCCATTTTTACAATAATGCAGTAGTCTGCATAACAGTAAATCTTCTATTTTTTGTGTGAATAAAAATTCAAAATGGAAAGCAAGAGTAATATAAGAGAGGCCTGGAGATGTGACTAATGAACAGAGAAAATGTTATTTTAGTACCAGGAATGTGTGTTGTTTATTCTGGACCCTATTTTGATATTGGCATCTTTTGAAATTTGCATGAAATGGGCCAAATTGCCAATTTCTGACCACTTTACTGGGTAGTTGAAATCAGTAAATGGGCAGTTTCTTGTACTCAGTTGATGGAATAAATGGAGTTCTAGCAAAATAACTATGATTTTAATCAACTGGAACATGGGAATTGGTCAAAAATAGGGCTCAAAGTGGGCGAAATCGCCGATGTGTAAATAGCGCCAATATCGCTAACTTCACGACAGCGTAATTTCATAATTTAACATCAAATTTCATACTTTTGGTGTCGTTACCGTTGGGAAAAGATTCTCTATTATTTCATAGGAATTTTTTTTTTTTTTATTCCCAGATTTCGAAAGTATATAATTAAAATATTCAATTTAGCATAATAAAATATGATTTACTGCACAGTATTTAGTTGTTTATTAACCCTTTGAGGGTTTCGGATGTACTAGTCGCTTACGACCCAGGGTTTTGACGTACTAGTCCCCTAAATTCTAGCGCCCTCAAATTAGTGGGAAAGCTGTTAGGCCTTCATATGAAGATGGGTCTTTGGTCATTGTGCACAGTCTAAAAAAAATCCTGCAGCACACGTGCATAATGAGAAAAAAACTTTGACAATTTTTTTGGAATAAAACAGCGACTTTGCACTGTATTTTCGTATGGTATTTATTGTTGTATTCTAGTTTTCTTGGTCTCATTTTATAGAATGGAAGACATATTACAGAAATTGAGATGATTTTGACTGGTTTTACAATGAAAGGTACCTTGAAATTGAGCTCAAAGTAGCAGAAATGTTCGATTTTACCAAATTTCAAAGTAACAAATCGTGCCAAGCGTGCAATACACGTCAACTGGTGAGTCTAATATTCTTTTACAAGTGCACCAATAATTATTTATTTCAATTTTTTACACTAATGCGTAGTCTGCATAACAGTAAATCTTATATTTTTTTTTGAGAATAAAAAAACAAAGTGGATAGCAAAAGAATATAAGAGGGGCCTTTAGGACGTGACTAATGACCGAGGAAATGTTATTTTAGTTTCCAGGAATGTCTTTCTTGTTTATTCTGGACCCTATTGGAAATTGGCATCTTTTGAAATTTGTGTGAAAATTTCAAAATTGCTAAATTTTTGACCACTGTACTGGATAATTGAATTTCATTTAAAAGGGTGGTTTCTTGCACCCCTTCAATAGAAAAATGGAGTTCTAGCGAAATATTCATGTTTTTTGTCGACTAGTACAGTGGAATTGGCCGAAAATGGGGCTCAAAGTGGGCAAAATCGCCGATACGTAAAAATCGCCGAGTCCGCTAACTTTGCGAGAGCATAATTCCGTAAGTTTTCCATCAAATTTCAAACTTTTGGTGTCCTTATGATTGGGAAAAGATTCTCTATCTTTTCATAAGAGAAAATAATTTTTTTTTTTTTTTAAATTTGGCCGACCCTGAGAACGAGTTTCGGAGAGGGCCTGTCGACCCTCAAAGGGTTAATATTGGCCTTCATAATTTTGTATGTTTATTACTGTTAGATTTTCTTTTTTTAGCATCTTACATTTTTGTTTACAGTGATGAGAATTTATACTGGTATGCTGAAACTCCAATGTGCAGTATTTTAGTAATTAACTTTCCAAAATAATTCAATGAAATAATTATTTTTTCTCAGCCACCGGCGAAACCCTTGGCAATTTCATCAATAAGCAGCCGGAGGTGTTGGGTTCTCTTCTTATTGATAAGTTTGGTGAACAGCTTCCTTTCTTGTTCAAGGTGCTAAGTGTTGACCAGGCACTCTCCATTCAAGCTCATCCCAACAAGGTCAGTAAGGCATAAAAATTGCTTTCATATTATTAACTCTTAAAGTGTCCAAACGTAGATCTACGTCCACGTGTGGGGGGGCTCCGAGCGTAGATCTACGTTTTTTTACATGCTTTCAAATGGGGAAAATCAAGGTCGGAGCGCTACGCACGTGAACGTAAATCTATGTTCGGACAGTTTAAGGGTTAAAATTTGTGATTAATTGGATGGAATCTCAACTGTATAGATACAGGGTATTATGACATGGTTAGGTGATAGTGTACTCTTAAAAGTGTTCTCTGAACTACAACCATCATTTGGATATCCATTTTTTAATCATAGAGACATGCTGAGCAACTTCATAAAGAGCGTCCAGACGTATACAAGGATCCCAATCACAAACCTGAAATGACCATCGCACTGACTCCTTTCCAAGCTCTATGTGGCTTCAGGCCTGCACAGCAAATTAAAAAGCATTTAAAAGGTTTTTAATATATTACTTTAATGTAATCCTTGAATACATTATGTAATATTTTTAACTGCTCTCAGAGTGGTGTGTTTAGCAGCAGAGTACTGTGTATATGTATATCCATACTCTACATGCAGTAGATTTATGGAATAGAAAATATGCTACAGATTTGGCTAATGGAAAATACATAAATACTGCAAGTTCTTGTTTACCTGTTTATTAGTGTTACATTTTCTTTGGAATTATCATTCAATTACAGAGCTTCCTGAGCTCCGGAAAGTAGTAGGAGAAGATGAAGCAGACAGTTTCATTGAGAATCCTACAGAAGATAATCTTAAAGCTTGTTTTTCTGCAATGATGAATTCACCCAAGGATGTTATTGCTTCTGCTCTTAGTGATCAATTGCAGCAGTTCTCTGAAATGGGTATGTTAATGGTATTTAGTTACTTAACATGAATTTGAAGAAATGGTATAGAAAATGTTTTTGATTACCAGTTGTATGAGATTTTAATGGAAGGCTATAAGGAATATTACCGAGTTACATTATTCTTGCCATATCATGGTATTTATTTTTCATTGATGTCTTGAGAGAGAACTTAACCTTCATGAAACATATTCTGTTGATGTTGGAAGCTGATCCATATACTTATTGAATTAACTCAAATATATAATACTTATCTTTTTTATTTTATCAACAGAATCCTCAGAGAGAGGTGATTTATTATGTAACCTCTTCACAACACTTCATGAAAAGTACCCAGGTGATGTTGGCTGTTTCTCCATATATTTGCTGAACTATCTTACTCTGCAGCCTGGTGATGCTATGTTTCTTGGTCCTAACATTATCCATGCATACCTGCTTGGAGGTGAGTGCTTTTAGTCATATTCATTAGACTTTTGGTCATTCATCATTCAGTATTTGCTATTGTGTTTTTTTTTTTATCTGCTAAGTACCAGGTCAATCAGGTGTGATGGCCATGTGGACAAGTGGGCTGTCCAAAGCAACAACAACTTGGTTGAATAGGTAGTCAACAGAAATGCTTGGACTTCAGCTGGGCTGCAGGGGTAAAAAAAAACACTCATGACTTGTCACTGGTACAGTGCTAGTCACGGCATTATGCCGAGTGAGCACCCTGGCATAATGCTGTGATGAAAATCAAAGGCCTACCATACAGGGGGGTCTTTTTTCGTCAGTGCATTATGCTGGGTAGCAGCTGTTAGCACGATGTCACGGCCTGCTGCCACACTCCACAGTGATTCAGTGCTCACGTGGCTGCTGTGGTGAGAGGAAGGGTTGCACTTTTGTCTCTTATCTGCCCCATATTTTGTCTGGTGTTCCTTTTGGTTTTGGGGCTATACATGTTTGATTATGAGTAAAAGGAAGTCTTTAACACCTGAATCTTTAGCTTGGCACTTTTGGAGGGTGTAATTAATGTAACTATATTTTCCTATATGTTGTTCTGCTTGGTTTATGCAACTTTTGATCACACACCATTTTCAGGAACTTAACTACCACATTATCCGATGGTTTTCTGTATGTAAACTATTACTTTGGCTATAGGGTCAGATTGCATATTAGTGCAATAACTTGATTTAGAAAGTCTCAGCATGTGTTTTTAAGATACTAAAATATTTTTATTTTTTTAGTGAAAGAATTAAATAAATTTTAAATTAATATTTTCACAGACTGCATTGAATGCATGGCCTGCTCGGATAATGTTGTGCGTGCTGGCTTGACCCCAAAGTATCAAGATGTGGAAAACTTTAGTATCCATGCTGGACTATGGAATGGTCTCATCTGAATCTAAAAAGTTCGAAGGCTTTAAAATGGATGGTTACACAACTTTGTACAATCCTCCAGTACCCGACTTTGCTGTTGATATGATTGAGGTGGGTTCGAATTCCTTTTTGCTGTAGCTTAAGTGTAGTGAAACCTCTTACTTCTTACAGCAATTCATTAATCGTCATACATTAACATGTTTTACATGCAAAGTGAAGTCTTCACTGCCCATGGTATATGTAACAAAGAACAGCTACTGGCATTACAGTAATAAGTTTAAATCAGGATTATTAAATTTTTCTAAAAAAATACATTAAAAATAATAATATTGTACTGTAATATGTTGCACTGTGAGTTAATGTTGATGAAAACTTATGACTTAAGATGTCTAATTACTGTACTGTACTGTACTTTTAAGAAAAGTGAAGTGATGAAAAGTGGCAGAGGGAGGGAAATACTGTAAAACTTCACCAGTGATGCTGCATACCCTGTGGCCCTAACTAAATATGATAAATTTTATTTTTTCTTAGCATGTTGACATTACATTTGTGTTTATTTGACCATCGAGAATTGTACTTTTGAGGGAGGAGGATGTAAGAAAAGAAGGAAGGGAAAAGGAGTTTGAGGAAGTTGAGGTTAATGATACCTTTAAGATGTACTTGAAGTGATAAAAGGGTCATCAATATTGCTATTTATGGCCAAAGATTTTCCTCCTAATAATGTAGAGGTGGGAAGTGCTATTTTCTCTCTTAGTACTCTCTTGAAATAGTTAAGTGATCTTGGTTATGTTTGAGCTAGTCATTGTTTATCAGTCATTTGGGATATCTGCAATTTCACATTCTGCTTCTTGCTGAGGTTGTAATCAGCCCTTACATCCATGAAGTACTGTGTTAAGCCTGTGTCACCTAGCCAGAAATTATCACAAAGAATATTTTTGAAGAAGGTATGCCTTTGTTATCATTATTAACCCTTTCAGGGTTTCCGACGTACTACTATGGCTTACGCGCCAGGGTTTTTGACGTACTTGTATGCATAAATTCTAGCGCCCTCAAATCTAGCAAGAGAAAGCTGGTAGGCCTACATGTGAAAGAATGGGTCTATGTGGTCAGTGTGTGCAGTATAAAAAAAATCCTGCAGCACACAATGTGTAATGAGAAAAAAAAAACTTTGACCGTGTTTTTGGTTTAAAACAGCGACTTTGCACTGTATTTTCGTATGGTATTTATGGTTGTATTCTAGTTTTCCTGGTCTTATTTTATAGAATGAAAGACATATTACAGAAATTGAGATGATTTTGATTGGTTTCACGATGAAAAGTACCTTGAAATTGAGCTCAAAGTAGCAGAAATGTTCGATTTTTGCCAAAGTTCAAAAGTAAATAAATCATGCCACGCATCCAATACACATCAACTGGGGAATCTGATATTCTTTCACAAGTGCGCAGATATTATTTATACCATTTCTACACTAATACAGTAGTCTGCATAACAGTAAAACTTCTATTTTTTGTGAGAATAAAAATTCAAAGTGGAAAGCAAAAGAAATGTAAGAGGGGCCTGGGGATGTGACTAATGAACAGAGGAAATGTTATTTTAGTGCCAGGAATGTCTTTCTTGTTTATTCTGGACCCTATTTGGGAATTGGCATCTTTTGAAATTTGTGTGAAATTGGCAAAATTGCTAAAGTCTGACCACTTTATTGGATAGTTGAAATCGGTAAATGGGTGGTTTCTTGTACTCATTCGATATAAAAAATGGAGTTCTAGCAAAATAGTTATGATTTTTGTCGACTAGTACACTGGAATTGGCCGAAAATAGGGCTCAAAGTGGGCAAAATCGCTGATGCGTAAACATCGTCGAGACTGCTAACTTCGTGAGAGTATAATTCTGTAAGTTTTCCATCAAATTTCATACTTTTGGTGTCATTATGATCGGAAAAAGATTCTCTATCTTTTCATAAGAAAAAATAATTTTTTTTTTTAAATTTTGGCGACCCTGAGAACAAGTATCTGAGAGGGCCTGGCGACCCTGAAAGGGTTAACATTGTTACTAGTTGTTACAAATCTCTGTGGTTGTGATAGGAAGAAACTTGAATACTGTGTTCATGCTGCCTTCTCGTGACATAAAAAGTTTTCATTCACGCACTTTCACTCACCCACCCATGATCCAGGGCAACCTTCACCATAGTACTACAGAAATGTGTGGATACTTTGTGACTAACTAAGTGCCATTTAGTAGAGGTTCCATTTGGTGCATTTGATTTTTTAAAATCATTTAAGCACTTCCAGGTTATTACCATTTCTTTCATTCTAATACATTAGTGGTGGCAGGATATCATAGTACACTTGTCTCTACTCTGCTCCAACACACTCGCATAAGACTTGGATGTTCAGGCCCCTAGCACTTAAACCCATTTTTTTCTGTCCCTCCAACCCTTCCTGGGACAACTCCTACCTCTCCTTCCTTTCACTCCAAATATCTTTCTTTCTTTCAACAAACTGGCCGTATCCCACCGAGGAAGGGTGGCGCAAAAAGAAAAATGAAAGTTTCTCTTTTTAAATTTAGTAATTTATACAGGAGAAGGGGTTACTAGCCCCTTGCTCCCGGCATTTTAGTCGCCTCTTACAACACGCATGGCTTACGGAGGAAGAATTCTGTTCCACATCCCTATGGAGATACCAGGAAATAAGCAAGAACAAGAACTAGTAAGAAAATAGAAGAAAACCCAGAGGGGTGTGTGTATATAGTATATGCTTGTACATGTATGTGTAGTGTGACCTAAGTGTAAGTAGAAGTAGCAAGATGTACCTAAAATCTTGCATGTGTATGAGACAAAAAAAAAGACACCAGCAATCCTACCATCGTGTAAAACAATTACAGGCTTCCATTTTACACTCACTTGGCAAGACGGTAGTACCTCCCTTGGCAGAGGGGTGTGTGTATACAGTGGACCCCCGGCATATGATATTAATCTGTTCCTGAGAGCTCATCGTATGCCGTAATTATTGTAAGGCAAATTAATTTTCCCCATAAGAAATAATGGAAATCAAATCCATGCAAGACACCCAAAAGTATGAAAAAAAAAGTTTTACCACATGAAATATTAAGTTTAATGCACACAAACTGAAGAAGACATGCACAGTTAGTAGATTACTCTACTAACAATAGAATACATGACACTTACCTTTAATGAAGATCTGGTGATGATTGATGGGATGGGAGGAGGGAAGAGTGTCGAAGTTGTTATTGTTTAGAAGGGGAATCCCCTTCCATTAGGACTTGAGGTAGCAAGTCCTTTTCCAGGGTTACTTCCCTTCTTCTTTTAATGCCACTAGGACCAGCTTGAGAGTCACTGGACTTCTGTCGCACAACATATCTGTCCATAGAGGCCTGTACCTCTCGTTCCTTTATGACTTTTCTAAAGTGGTTCACAACATTATTATTGTAATAGTCACCAGCACGGCTTGCAATAGCTGTGTGAGGGTGATTTTCATCCATAAAGGTTTTCACCTTTGTCTACATTGTACACATTTCTTTAATCGTTGAAGTAGGCAACTTCTTCAATTTCTCTATCCCCACTTCCGAAGCAGTTTCCTCAGGTCTGGCCTCTTGCCGTTGAAGATGATCTAGCAGCTCATCAGTGGTTAGTTCTTCATTGTCCTTCTCCACCAACTCTTCCACATCCTCCCCACTAACCTCCAACCCCAAGGACTTCCCCAATGCCACAATGGATTCCTCAACTGGCATACGATTCCCAGGGTTAGCCTCAAATCCTTCAAAATCCCTTTTGTCTACACATTCTGGCCACAGTTTCTTCCAAGCAGAGTTCAAGGTCCTCTTAGTCACTCCCTCCCAAGCCTTACCTATAAGGTTTACACAATTGAGGATATGAAAGTGATCCTTCTAAAACTCTTTTAGAGTCAATCGAATGTCTGTGGTCACTTCAAAGCACTCTTGAAACATAGCTTTTGTGTACAGTTTCTTGAAGTTGGAAATGACCTGCTGGTCCATGGGCTGCAGGAGAGGAGTGGTATTAGGAAGTAAAAGCTTGACCTTAATGAAGCTATGTCCCCAGAAAGTCATTCTGCCAAGTCTGAAGGATGACCAGGAGCTTTGTCTAATACCAGGAGGCATTTGGGGTCTAATTTCTTTTCAATTAGGTAATTTTTCACATTGGGGGGAAATGCATGGTGTAACCAGTCATAGAAAAAGTCTCTAGTGACCCATGCCTTACTGTTTACCCTCCACAGCACACACAAATTAGCCTTGAGGACATTGTTTTTCCTGAACGCTCTGGGAGTTTCTGAGTGATACACCAATAAAGGCTTCACTTTGCAATCACCACTAGCATTGGCACACATGAGAAGAGTAAGCCTGTCTTTCATAGGCTTATGTCCTGGGAGTGCCTTTTCCTCCTGAGTAATGTAGGTCCTGCTTGGCAATTTCTTCCAAAACAGGCCTGTTTCGTCGCAATTAAACACTTGTTCAGGTTTAAATTCTTCACTGTCTATGTAATCCTTGAATTCCTTCACATATTTTTCAGCTGCTTTTTGGTCCGAACTGGCAGCCTCACCATGCTTAATCACAATATGTATGCCACTACGATTCTTAAATCTTTCAAACCAACCTTTGCTGGCCTTAAATTCACTCACATTACCACTAGTTGCAGGCATTTTTTTGTCATGCAACTTCATAGCCTTTTCACATATGATCACTTGAGAGATGCTATCTCCTGATATCTGTTTTTCATTTATCCACACCAATAACAGTCTCTCAACATCTTCTAACACTTGCAATCTCTATTTCAAAAACAGACATGCACCTTTTGCAAGAACAGCTTCCTTGATTGCCGTTTTCTTGGCCACTATAGTAGCAATGGTTGATTGGGGTTTGGTATACAACCTGGCCAGCTCCGACACATGCACTCCACTTTGGTACTTTGCAATTATCTCTTTCTTCATTTCCATAGTAATTAGCACCCTTTTTCCCGCAGGGTTGGCACTAGAAGCTTTCTTGGGGCCCATGGTGACTTATTTTGCAGAAACAAGCACCAAAAACACTGTGATAATATGGAATGTACCGAATGCATGCTTAGATGCGAGCACACTGGCTGGCTTGTAAACACTGGCACCCACGGGGCAGTTCAGGCCACACGTAGACGCATTCCGGACAAATCGCGTGTGGTGGGTTTTTTAACATGTGGCGAGGCAAAATTTTTGCGTTAAAATGTATCGTATGCTGGATTTAACGTATGCTGATGCCATCGTATGCCAGGGGTCCACTGTATATATACAGTGGACCCCCGCTTAACGATCACCTCCCAGTGCGACCAATTATGTAAGTGTATTTATGTAAGTGCGTTTGTACGTGTATGTTTGGGGGTCTGAAATGGACTAATCTACTTCACAATATTCCTTATGGGAACAAATTCGGTCATTACTGGCACCTGAACATACTTCTGGAATGAAAAAATATCGTTAACCGGGGGTCCACTGTATGTATATATATATGCTTGTACATGTATGTGTAAGAAGTAGTAGCAAGACGTACCTGAAATCTTGTATGTTTATGAGACAAAAAAAAACACCAGCAATCTTACCATCATGTAAAATAATTACAGGTTTTTGTTTTACACTCAGTCCAAGTATACATATGCTTTTATTTTGCTTTGTCCTCTATGAATGCCCAAACTACCTAAACATCCCTTCCTCAGCCCTCTGAATTATACTTAGGGCAACCCCGTACCATCTTCTAAACTCCATGCTCTGAATTCTCTGCAGAATCTTTACACCATGCTACATTCTCAAATATGACATCTCTTCACTCTCCAGCCTCCTGCTCTGCAGTGTTTAAACCCCATGCATCACATCCATATAACAATGTTGGTACTACTATTCTCTAGTACGTTGCCCTTTTTGCCTCCATCAGTAAAGTTTTGTTGTGTTCACAAATGCCTCGCTGTACCACCCACCTATTTCTCCTCACTTATCTGTGGTTCATCTTGTCTTTTATTGACCCATCTGCTGACAAGTCCTCTCCCAAATATTTGAACACATTTACTTCCTCCATACTCCATCCATCCCTCAATTATGATATTTAATCTCTCATTGTTTTGATTTTTTGTTTCTCTCATTAACTTACTTTCTGCTATATTCACGTATAATTTCCTTCTTTTACATACTCTTCCAAATTCCAATGCTAGCCTATGCAATTTCTCTCCAGAGTTTCAGAATACGTATATCCAAAATATCTCAGAGAATCCATTAAGGATTAATAACAAATGCCTAACAAGTTTTTTTTTTTTTTTAACACGTCAGCTATCTCCCATCAAGGCAGTGACACCCAAATAAGAAAAGAACTCTTTCACCATCATTCAACACTTTTGCCATCATTCACACAATATCACTGTCTTTGTATATGCACCCAGACATGACAGTTAATTTGTCACTTCTAACAGCCAATATCCCAGACCCCTCCTTTAGAGTGCAGTCATTGTACTTCTCACCTCCAGGACTCAAGTCTGGCTAACCAGTTTCCCTGAATCCCTTCACAGAATATTACTCTGCTTACACTCCAATAGCTTGTCAGGCTCCCAAAAATGTTGGTCTCCATTCACTCTTATCTAACATGCTCACACATGCCTGCTGTATGTCCAGGCCCCTTGCACACAAAACCTCTTTTACCCCCTCCCTCCATCCTTTCCTTGGATGACCCCTACCCCTCCTCCCCACTACAGATTTATACACCCTCCAGGTCAACCTATTTTGCTCCATCCTCTGTAAATGACCAGACCACCTCAATAACCCCTCCTCAGCCCTCTGAATCATATTTTTAGTAACTCCACACCTCTTCTTAATTTCCACTCTACATATTCTTTGCATAATATTTACACCACACATTGCCCTTAGACACACTCACAACCTATGCTTGGCAATCATATAAGAGTGTTGGTACCACTATACTCTCGTACATTCCCTTCTTTGCCTCCATGGATAACATTTTTTTTTGTCTCCACTCCACTCACCTTTTTTTCTTCATCAGTTCTGTGGTTAACCTAATCCTTCATAAACCCATCTGCTGACAAATCTACTCCCAAATATTTGAACACATTCAAATAAATTTGTCAGTTAAAAATAGGAGAGGAGAGTTATTAAATGGAGAGTTAGAGGTTGGGAAGATGGAGGGAATATTTTGAGGAATTGCTGAATGTTGATGAAGATAGGGAAGCTGTGATTTCGTGTATAGGGCAAGGAGGAATAACATCTTGTAGGAGTGAGGAAGAGCCAGTTGTGAGTGTGGGGGAAGTTTGTGAGGCAGTAGGTAAAATGAAAGGGGGTAAGGCAGCCAGGATTGATGGGATAAAGATAGAAATGTTAAAAGCAGGTGGGGATATAGTTTTGGAGTGGTTGGTGCTATTATTTAATAAATGTATGGAATAGGGTAAGGTACCTAGGGATTGGCAGAGAGCATGCATAGTTCCTTTGTATAAAGGCAAAGGGGACGAAAGAGAGTGCAATAATTATAGGGGGATAAGTCTGTTGAGTATACCTGTTAGTTATTGAAAGAATTAAGAGTAAGATGGAGAATAGGATAGCAGATGAACAAGGAGGCTTTAGGAAAGGTAGGGGGTGTGTGGACCAGGTGTTTGCAGTGAAACATATAAGTGAACAGCATTTAGATAAGGCTAAAGAGGTTTTTGTGGCATTTATGGATTTGGAAAAACCATATGACAGGGTGGATAGGGGGGCAATGTGGCAGATGTTGCAGATGTATGGTATAGGAGGTAGGTTACTGAAAGCAGTGAAGAGTTTTTATGAGGATAGTGAGGCTCAAGTTAGAGTATGTAGGAAAGAGGGAGATTATTTCCCAGTAAAAGTAGGCCTTAGACAAGGATGTGTGATGTCACCGTGGTTGTTCAATATATTTATAGATGAGGTTGTAAGAGAAGTAAATGCGAGGGTCTTGGCAAGAGGTGTGGAGTTAAAAGATAAAGAATCACACATAAAGTTGGAGTTGTCACAGTTGCTCTTTGGTGATGACACTGTGCTCTTGGGTGATTCTGAAGAGAAGTTGCTGAGGTTGATGGATGAATTTGGTAGGGTATGTAAAAGAAGAAAATTGAAAGTGAATACAGGAAAGAGTAAGGTTATGAGGATAACAAAAAGATTAGGTGATGCAAGATTGGATATCAAATTGGAGGGAGAGAGTATGGAGGAGGTGAATGTATTCAGATATTTGGGAGTGGACGTGTCAGCAGATGGGGCTATGAAAGATGAGGTGAATCATAGAATAGATGAGGGAAAAAGGGTGAGCGGTGCACTTAGGAGTCTGTGGAGACAAAGAACTTTGTCCTTGGAAGCAAAGAGGGGAATGTATGAGAATATAGTTTTACCAACGCTCCTGTATGGGTGTGAAGCATGGGTGATGAATGTTGCAGCTAGGAGAAGGCTGGAGGCAGTGGAGATGTCATGTCTGAGGGCAATGTGTGGTGTGAATATAATGCAGAGAATTCGTAGTTTGGAAGTTAGGAGGAGGTGCGGGATTGCCAAAACTGTTGCCCAGAGGGCTGAGGAAGGGTTGTTGAGGTGGTTCGGACATGTAGAGAGAATGGAGCGAAACAGAATGACTTCAAGAGTGTATCAGTCTGTAGTGGAAGGAAGGCGGGGTAGGGGTCGGCCTAGGAAAGGTTGGAGGGGGGGGGGGGTAAAGGAGGTTTTGTGTGCGAGGGGCTTGGACTTCCAGCGGGCATGCGTGAGCGTGTTTGATAGGAGTGAATGGAGACAAATGGTTTTTAATACTTGACGTGCTGTTGGAGTGTGAGCAAAGTAACATTTATGAAAGGATTCAGGGAAACTGGCAGGCCGGACTTGAGTCCTGGAGATGGGAAGTACAGTGCCTGCACTCTGAAGGAGGGGTGTTAATGTTGCAGTTTCAAAACTGTAGTGTAAAGCACCCTTCTGGCAAGACAGTGATGGAGTGAATGATGGTGAAAGTTTTTCTTTTTTGGGCCACCCTGCCTTGGTGGGAATCGGCCAGTGTGTTAATATAAATATATAATAAAAATATTCACTTCTTCCATACTCCCTCCAATATGATATCTGATTTGTCTTTACCTAACTCGTTGGAGACCCTCATCATCTTACTCTTATTTGTGTTCACTTTCATCTTTCTTACACACCCTCTCAAATGTTCCTAAATAAATAAAGCACACCTTATTTAAGGTATGCTTATGTGAGGCTACATCACTTTAGGCTAACTTCATTACAGTTTCCTAGAGAGTGACTTTGTGAGGGATGCTGGGGTGGATCACCTTCTCTTTCCCCAGTCCTCATTAACATGGAGATATTAAATTTTTTTGCCACTCCTTACAGTTAAGGAGTTTAAGTATCAATATAGTTAAAAAAATTATCCACTTGTTTCCAGCTGGAGTTTTCAGTAACATAGTATATTAAAACAGTATATTAATAGCTGAGATGAAGTGGCATCACAACAATAGCAAACATTAAACTAGTAGTAACATTCATATTGTGAAGAGCATTTGCTTTTTTTACTTTTGTGAGTTCCTTTCCAACACCCCTATATGTACTTCCAGTTCCTTGAATATTGTCTTTCCTATGGCAGGTAAGGATCATGTAATGATGAATGACTCTTCTTCTTTGGGTCACCTTGCCATGGTGAGAAGTGGCTGATGTGTAAAAAAAATTAGTGTGTAGGTGTAAATATGTATTTATAGGCAGAGGAATAGATTGATGCTCATGGTGTATCATGATAAGAATTCACTATATAATTTATTTGAGGTGTGCATCATTTGAAGCTGATGGTCTACGGATATACATATCTTGAAGTTTGGAATATAAGAAAAATCTGTAAGTTTTATTTTGAATTTAAATGCTTGATTTTTCCAACAGATCCCTGTTGGGGTGGAGCAATACACTTTAAGACCAATAGAATCTGCTAGTATTGTCCTGGTGGTGGAAGGTAGTGCTGAAGATGTAGAGGTTAGCCCAGCATGCCCTGGAGAGGTGCCACATGCTACTTCTGTTGAACGTGGCTCAGTATTATTTTTAGTAGCAGAACAGTCTTTGACTCTGAAACTCAGATCTGGAACACGTTTCCTTGCCTTTCGTGCTTTATGCATCCTGTAAATTTCAGGGAATTTGAGAGTGCATTATTAAGTAGCTATATATACACTGTTGAAATTATTGATTAATATTTTACCAGGGTAGTAATGATTGTTATGTGATGCCTTGAAAGAATTTAAGTACATGAATTGTTAAATTTTAAAGTGTTATTGTCTGTAGTAAATTTATTACATGTATGAATTTGCTAAAAGTTATAGAAAGCAGAACACGTTGTCAACTAACTAAACTTTTAACTCTTTAATATTTGTTATGTCTTACCTTTTTTATTATTATAAACTGATCTGCTGTCTATAAGCCTCATTCCTGCTTTAGATAGAAGAAATTCTTGTATCCTTGAATGTGTCTACTTAAAGGATGTAGTTGTGCATTTATTATTCTCAAACCCTTAATATATGACATAAAAATAATTAGAATTGTGTAAATCTAAAGTTTTATATATTTTCATGTTATTTTGAAAATTAATTCCTAAGATGAATCAAATCTGTATGGCAGTAGAAGATAAGCATTGTCTTTTTTTGTTAAATTTTCATAGCAACTAAAGAATTTGGCTGCATATTTGAAAAAAAAAAAGCATATTTTGGGGCCTTCATTCATCAGTGAAGATATTGGGAAGGAGATATAATAATCCCTCCCAGTAATAATGATGAAGTCCTTCCTGCTACTACTTGGTCAATGTTCTGTGATATGAAGTTTAAAAAAATAGTGTACAGTAGTTCATGTTATTTTTAGCTAGAAGCTTCCACTACTTGAAGGGCAAAATTTGGCTTGGATCCACATTTTTCAGGTAATGAGAGACTGGTGCTTGGATACTTTAGCTTGTACAGTGCACTACTGTATATTGTATAATTGCAAAATATAAAAAATTATATAAATGCTGTTTTAGTACTGTATTGCTGTAATATAAATATGAAGATAAAGATAACATTAGAATATTTATTTAAATGAAAGGCAGAGATGTAGCAGACTAATAATTAAAAAGAATCTAATTTCTTTAGTCTTACACAAATAAGGAAATCAGTTTTATCTAGAGCCAAGTAGAAGTGGATTGTGTTATTAACTGTGATACACACAAAACTGGCCACTTGTGAAGGCCTTCAATTAAGGTAAAATTTCTCAATGTAAGGACACTACCTGATAAGTGAGACTTCTGTATTTTCTAAATTCTTATTCATTAATTCGCTTTTTCGTGTGAGGGGCCACCCATGAAATACTATTCCTATTTCTCATATTGCTGGACCATCATGGGTCACCTCATTCTTACTCTATCTCATGGATTTAAATTTTTTAATAAATTCATTTAATTTTAATATATAGTATATGACATACATGTGTTGTGCTCATATTTCTTTTGGTAAAAATAAGCCAAGAAGTTAGTTTTTTATTTTATTATGGTAAGTTTGTAATAGTGGTTGCTGTTATATTACAAAAACTTTTCAGTTGTTTTTTTAATTAAATGGATTTATTTTTGGTATATTATATGAATTTTGGTGCATGTATAGCAGACTAATGTATTTTTGGTAAAAATTGGTTAAGAATTTTTTTTTGTTTTTTTTTTTGGAAGTTTTTATAAATAAATACTCTTGCTTTGGTTAGCCATGAGTGCTTTCACAGATTTTTCCATATTTGCAGGGTCTCTTGGAACATGATCTTCATAAAGTCTCATTGTGTATCTATGGAACATATTGCAAGGAGTTAAAATTACTGTATAAGGTTTATGTTATTAAATGTACTGTGAAAATATGGTATGGCCTCTTAGAATACTCTTGTTAAATTTCCACAGTAATTAGTATAAATAAATTAATTTATTTTTTGTATTTTTTTAGAATTAAAAGTTAGAAATAATGGTGGGTAACATAATTCAATTACTAATTGTTCACACCATGGAACAGCAGTTATTTTATATCATACAGTGCTAGCATGTACATGTTTGTTTAAAGATAGTACTGTACATAAAATTATTGCATGTTAATTGTGAAGATTTCTGTTAGGAAATGCAAGAATATTTAGACAATGAATTCAGTAGTTAAATGTGACTATATTACTATGCATCCTGGAGGTCATTCATTATTCATGTAGAATGTGTCTTAGCATTCTATAACAAAGTGATGACACTTTATCTTTCACATTTATTGTATATACGGTAATCCTTTTGTTCAACAGCAGCCAACAAATTACACATACAGTACTTATCTTTTGCTTTTATTTTACTTTTTGTTACTTTACCTCTTACATTTAGTAGTTTTACAGTTAAATCTCTTCTGCAGTATGAGAGTTAATAGTAGATTATTTATGAGAATACAAGCAGATGAAGAACAATTTTTGAGGGCAGACAGCTGAGTGGGAAGAATGGAGCTAATGTATATCAGATGATCCTTTATATGTTTTATTGGTTTAGTTATGGTTAAAATGAAGCCATCCATCAAAGGGGTTTCCAGGAGGAATGAAATATAAACATAATATAACTAATTATGCTAAAACTAAACATTCCAATGTGTTTTAGTCAAATAGCATAACTTTTTCAGTCATTACTGTACAGTGGAACCTCGGTTTACGAATTCCCCACCATGCGAATTTTTCAGGATATGAACAGTCATTTCGGTCAATTTTTTGCTTCTGGATACGAATGAAACTTCAGGATGTAAACTTTCCCCTCAAGGGAGGTTCCTTGGTGAGGGGCTCTTGATCTAGGGAATTGGATCTGTGCTCCAGTTCCCTAAATTAATAATAATAATAGTATTAATGTTGGTAGAATTACCAACAATATGTAAAGTAAAAGGACACAAGTGCAAGTAATGTGATATTGTATTGTGACAATGTTTCACTCTCCAGGGGCTTTGTCAAGCCGTTACAAACAATACATGGACATAGAGGGTATATATAGACTTAGAATGAGGTGTAATACTAGTGGTAGTGGTGGTAGTAGTAGTAACATAAGTTGTAGTAGTAGTAGTAGTAGTAATGTGAGTTGTAGTAGTAATACAATATGGTAAAACAAGCAACTTACTACCCTTTTACTCATATGCAAGTTGATTGTTCTACCATATTGTATTACTACTACTACTACTACTACTACTTATATTACTATTACTACTACTACTACTACTACTACAGCTTATATTACTACTACTACAACTTATATTACTACTACTACTTCTACCACCACTAGTATTACACCTCACTCTAAGCCTATATATACCCTCTGTGTCCATGTATTGTTTGTAACGGCTTGATAAAGCTCCTGGAGAGCGAAACTTTGCCATAATAAAAAATATCACATTAGTTGCACTTGTGTCCTTTTAATTTACAAAATAATAATAATTATTATTATTATAATAATAATACACTGCAGTAGGCCTATTGGCCCATACTAGGCAGGTCCTTCACAATCCACCCCACTAACAGAATATTTGCCCCACTTGGTTTTCAATGCTACCCAAGCCATTAGCTTTAATAATTCTATCTACTTACATGCAAGTCCCACTCAAATCCAACCCCTCTCACTTGCATATTTATCCAATCTAAATTTGAAACTACCTAAGGTTATGGCTTCAGTAGGACCTTGGGTAGCTTTAGATGTACGCAAGCAATAAGTGTTGACAACTCTATTTGCTCATCTTGACTGTGTGCTAATGGAGTTACAGAAAGATGACATTGAAGAAATGCTGAACATTGACGATGATGCACCTGTTGTGCATTCCTTGAGTGATGGTGAAATTAGACGGATTGTAATAGATAAATAAGCCGTAGAGTTGATATTTGCATCATACTGAAGTATTTTGTCATGCCTCCTGAGAGCAGGAATTCCACTGGAATGGATTAATGCCATTTCATTTAATTTAAATGAGGAAAATCGACTCAGCATACGAACAAATCAGGATACGAACAAGGTCAAGGAACGGATTAAATTCATAAGCTGAGGTTCCACTGTATCATTATTTTCCATATTATTATTATAATAAAAAAGAAGCGCTAAACCACAAGGGTTTTATTTTCCATAGTCAGAGTTCACCCTTCTCTGATGTATCAGTGTGTGACATGAATGTTTAATATTAGATGTCCTGGAAAAGTACATGCATTTGATCTGTTTTGAGGGCTAATTTTAACAAGAAAAAGAGTGGATGGAGTAAGAGCAGTGTGTAATGATGGAGATGGTGATGTGTTAAAAAATTATATAAGGATAATAGCAGACCTGACGAGCTGTTGCAGTGTGAGCAGGGTAATATTTTGTGAAGGGATTCAGGGAAACCAGTTAGCCGGACTTGAGTCCTGGAAATGGGAATTACAATGCCTGCACTTCAAAGGAGGGGTTTGGGATATTGGCAGTATCTGAGCACCTCTGCAAAGACAGTGATTATGCATGAGTGATGGTGAAAGTGTTGAATGATGTTGAAAGTATTTTTCTTTCTTTTTGGGGTTTTTCTTTCTTTTTGGGTCACCCTGCCTCAGTGGGAAATGACCAATGTGTTAAAAAAAAATATGGCAGAGTTGGGGGGGGGGAGGATGGATCGCCTAAATTGCTTGGGTATGTAGGTAGAATATAAGAATATAAAAAAGGGAAACATGAGGGTGTGGGGAAAAAAAAAAAAAAGCAGGGTTAAAAATGCAGATGATGATGATTTTATTGAAGATTGTGTGGAATTGTGAAGGATCGGAGTACATACCTTGCTTAATAGTGTCAGTTAGCATATTGGATAAAAATAGTGTACATGTAAGTTTTTTTTTTTTTTTTTTTTTTTTTCAACAAGTCGGCCGTCTCCCACCGAGGCAGGGTGACCCAAAAAAGAAAGAAAATCCCCAAAAAGAAAATACTTTCATCATCATTCAACACTTTCACCACACTCGCACATTATCACTGTTTTTGCAGAGGTGCTCAGAATACAACAGTCTAGAAGCATAAACATATAAAGATACACAACATATCCCTCCAAACTGCCAATATCCCAAACCCCTCCTTTAAAGTGCAGGCATTGTACTTCCCATTTTCCAGGACTCAAGTCCGACTATATGAAAATAACCGGTTTCCCTGAATCCCTTCACTAAATATTACCCTGCTCACACTCCAACAGATCGTCAGGTCCCAAGTACCATTCGTCTCCATTCACTCCTATCTAACACGCTCACGCACGCTTGCTGGAAGTCAAGCCCCTTACCACAAAACCTCCTTTACCCCCCTCTCCAACCCTTTCGAGGCAGGACCCCTACCCGCCTTCCTTCCCTATAGATTTATATGCTTTCCATGTCATTCTACTGTGATCCATTCTCTCTAAATGACCAAACACCTCAACAACCCCTCTTCTGCCCTCTGACTAATACTTTTATTAACTCCACACCTTCTCCTAATTTCCACACTCCGAATTTTTCTGCATAATATTTACACCACACATTGCCCTTAAACAGGACATCTCCGCTGCCTCCAACCGTTCCTCGCTGCTGCATTTACCACCCAAGCTTCACACCCATATAAGAGTGTTGGTACTACTATACTTTCATACATTCCCTTCTTTGCCTCCATAGATAACGTTTTTTTGACTCCACATATACCTCAACGCACCACTCACCTTTTTTCCCTCATCAATTCTATGATTAACCTCATCCTTCATAAATCCATTCCGCCGACACGTCAACTCCCAAGTATCTGAAAACATTCACTTCTTCCATACTCCTCCTCCCCAATTTGATATCCAATTTTTTTATCTAAATCATTTGACACCCTCATCACCTTACTCTTTTCTATGTTCACTTTCAACTTTCTACCTTTACACACATTCCCAAACTCATCCACTAACCTTTGCAATTTTTCTTTAGAATCTCTCCATAAGCACAGTATCATCAGCAAAAAGTAACTGTGTCAATTCCCATTTTGAATTTGATTCCCCATAATTTAATCCACCCCTCTCCCAAACACCCTAGCATTTACTTCCTTTACAACCCCATCTATAAATATATTAAACAACCATGGTGACATTACACTCCCTGTCTAAGACCTACTTTTACCGGAAGTAGTCTCCCTCTCTTCTACACACCCTAACCTGAGCCTCACTATCCTCATAAAAAACTCTTTACAGCATTTAATAACTTACCACCTATTCCATATACTTGCAACATCTGCCACATTGCTCCTCTATCCACTCTATCATATGCCTTTTCTAAATCCATAAATGCAATAAAAACTTCCCTATCTTTATCTAAATACTGTTCACATATATGCTTCAATGTAAACACCTGATCTACACATCCCCTACCCACTCTAAAACCTCCTTGCTCATCCGCAATCCTACATTCTGTCTTACTCTAATTCTTTCAATTATAACCCTACCGTACACTTTTCCTGGTATACTCAGTAAGCTTATTCCTCTATATTTTTACAGTCTCTTTTGTCCCTTTCCCTTTATATAAAGGGACTATACATGCTCTCTGCCAATCCCTAGGTACCTTCCCCTCTTTCATACATTTAATTAAACAAAAGTACCAACCACTCCAACACTATATCCCCCCCTGCTTTTAACATTTCTGTCATGATCCCATCAGTTCCAGCTGCTTTACCCCCTTTCATTTTACGTAATGCCTCACGTACCTCCCCCACACTTACATTCTGCTCTTCTTCACTCCTAAAAGATGGTATACCTCCCTGACCAGTGCATGAAATTACTGCCTCTGTTTCTTCCTTAACATTTAAAAGTTCCTCAAAATATTCTCGCCATCTACCCAATACCTCCATCTCCCCATCTACTAACTCCCCTACTCTGTTTTTAACTGACAAATCCATATTTTCCCTAGGCTTTCTTAACTTGTTTAACTCACTCCAAAATTTTTTCTTATTTTCATTAAAATTTCTTGACAGTGCCTCTCCCACTCTATCATCTGCTCTCCTTTTGCACTCTCTCACCACTCTCTTTACCTTTCTTTTACTCTCCATATACTCTGCTCTTCTTATAACACTTCTGCTTTGTAAAAACCTCTCATAAGCTACCTTTTTCTCTTTTATCACACCCTTTACTTCATCATTCCACCAATCACTCCTCTTTCCTCCTGCCCCCACCCTCCTATAACCACAAACTTCTGCCCCACATTCTAATACTGCATTTTTAAAACTATTCCAACCCTCTTCAACCCCCCCACTACTCATCTTTGCACTAGCCCACCTTTCTGCCAATAGTCGCTTATATCTCACCCGAACTTCCTCCTCCCTTAGTTTATACACTTTCACTTCCCTCTTACTTGTTGTTGCCACCTTCCTCTTTTCCCATCTACCTCTTACTCTAACTGTAGCTACAACTAAATAATGATCCGATATATCAGTTGCCCCTCTATAAACATGTACATCCTGGAGCCTACCCATCAACCTTTTATCCACCAATACATAATCTAATAAACTACTTTCATTACGTGCTACATCATACCTTGTATATTTATTTATCCTCTTTTTCATAAAATATGTATTACTTATTACCAAATTTCTTTCTACACATAGCTCAATTAAAGGCTCCCCATTTACATTTACCCCTGGACACCCAAATTTACCTACTACTCCCTCCAATAACATTTTTACCCACTTTAGCATTAAAATCCCCAACCACCATTACTCTCACACTTGATTCAAAACTCCCCACGCATTCACTCAACATTTCCCAAAATCTCTCTCTCTCCTCTACACTTCTCTCTTCTCCAGGTGCATACACGCTTATTATAACCCACTTTTCACATCCAATCTTTATTTTACTCCACATAATCCTTGAATTAATACATTTATAGTCCCTCTTTTCCTGCCATAGCTTATCCTTCAACATTATTGCTACTCCTTCTTTAGCTCTAACTCTATTTGAAACCCCTGACCTAATCCCATTTATTCCTCTCCACTGAAACTCTCCCACCCCCTTCAGCTTTGTTTCACTTAAAGCCAGGACATCCAGCTTCTTCTCATTCATAACATCCACAATCATCTCTTTCTTATCATCTGCACAACATCCACGCACATTCAGACTTCCCACTTTGACAATTTTCTTCTTCTTATTCTTTTTAGTAATCTTTACAGGAAAAGGGGTTACTAGCCCATTGTTCCCGGCATTTTAGTTGACTTTTACAACACGCATGGCTTACGGAGGAAAGATTCTTATTCCACTTCCCCATGGATATAAAAGGAAAATTAATAAGACCAAGAACTATTAAGATAAAATCAAAGAAAACTCAGATGAGTGTGTATAAATAAATGTGTACATGTATGTGTAGTGTGACCTAAGTGTAAGTAAGTAAGTGTAATGAATAATTTACACACAGAAGTCATTCATTGTGATACAGAAATCATATGTATTGTAGTTCATCTTTGGCTTTTAAATGTTACAATAGTTCTGATACCAGAATAAATTTTATGTATTGCAGCTCTTTCATGGTAGGATTTTATGAATGTGAAAAAAAGGCTCCCATTTAATTTCTGAGTAGGTTACAGTGAACAAGCTTTTTGCATTTTTTTGTCATTTGCAACTCAGAAATAGTGCATTTTATTCCAAGGGTGCTACAAGGACTACAAAATCAGATATAACCTAAAAATTCATCTTTGTTTATAGGGAATGTACTTACGAGTTACCTGGTGTTAATGTAGATTACCAAATTAAACCAAAGGACTGTGTATGTGTTGAGCCCATTTATTTTTTGTGTAAAGTAGTATGTAGTAATAAATGAAGCTGAAATTGCAATCCATGCACAGTATTATTTAATGATGCTGTTGCTGTATACTGTAGATTGTTTAGTGCATAAATGAAGCAGTGTAGCATAGATATATATGTTTTTAATACAGCATATTTAAATTATGATGTACCAGTAATACCATTTTATATTATATATTATTCAGGTAGTTTTTTTTATATTGTACCAATTAATCTTTGTTACTCTTGGAAGTACAACCATCTTCATCCACACGTCATGCTGTTCTTTACAGAATGTTATGACTAGCCTCTAAGTCTTTAATTGGCTCTCTGTC